AGACGAGAATTGCAACTCCTGCTTTTTTTTGCTCTCCATTTGCTTGGTAAATCTTCCTCCATCCCTTTATTTTGATCCTTTGTGTATCCTTGCATGTGAGATGGGTTTCCTGGATACAGCACATCGATGAATTTTGGCTTTTTATCCAATTTGCCAGTCTGTGTCTTTTTATTGGGGCATTTAGCCCATTTACATTTAGGGTTAATATTGTTACATGTGAATTGGATCCTGCCATTTTGATGCTAGCTGGCTGTTTTGCCCTTTAGTTGATGCAGTTTCTTTATTGTGTTGATGCTGTTTACCATTTGGTATGTTTTTGGAGTGGCTGGTACTGGTTGTTCCTTTCTGTTTAGTGCCTCTTTCAGGAGCTCTTGTAACGCAGGCCTGGTGGTGATGAAATCTCTGAGTACTTGTTTGTTCACAAAGGATTTTATTTTTCCTTCACTTATGAAGCTTAGTTTGGCTGGATGTGAAATTCTGGGTTGAAAGTTCTTTTCTTTAAGCATGTTGAATATTGGCCCTCACTCTCTTCTGGCTTGTAGAGTTTCTGCCGAGAGATCTGCTTGAGTCTGATAGGCTTCCCTTTGTGGGTAACCCAACCTTTCTCTCTGGCTGCCCTTAGCATTTTCTCCTTCATTTCAACCCTGGTGAATCTGACGGTTATGTACCTTGGGGTTGCTCTTCTTGAGGAATATCTTTGTGGTGTTCCTATATTTCCTGGACTTGAATATGGGCCTGCCTTGCTAGGTTGGGGAAGTTTTCCTGGATAATATCCTGAAGAGTATTTTCCAGCTTGGATTCATTCTCTTCATCACATTCAGGTATAACTATCAAACATAGATTAGGTCTTTTCACATAGTCCCATATTTCTTGGAGATTTTGTTCATTCCTTTTTAACCTTTTTTTCTCTAATCTTGCCTTCTCATTTTATTTCATTGAGTTCATCTTCAACCTCATATCTTTTCTTCTGCTTGGTCAATTTGGCTGTTGAAAGTTGTGTATGCTTCACGAAGTTCTCGTGTTGTGTTTTTTAGCTCCATCAATACACTTATATTCCTAAGTTGTTTATTCTCGTTAGTATTTCATCAAATCTTGTTTCAAGGTTCTTAGTTTCTTTGCATTGAGTTAGAACATGTTCTTTTAGCTCCAAGAAGTTTCTTTTTACCCATTTTCTGAAGCCTGATTCTGTCAATTCATCACACTAATTCTCCATCCAGCCTTGTTCCTTTGCTGGTGAGGAGTTGTGACCCCTTGTAGGAGGAGAGGTATTCTAGTTTCGGGTGTTTTCATCCTTTTTGTGCTGGTTTCTTCCCATCTTTGTGGATTTATCCACCTATCGTCTTTGTAGTTGTTGACTTTCAGATTGGGTCTGAATTGATGTCCCATTTGTTGATGATGAAGTTATTTCTGTTTCTTAGTTTTCCTTCTAACAACAGTCTGGCCTCTCTGCTGTAGGACTGCTGAGGTTCACTCCAGGCCCTGCTTGCCTGGGGATCACCTGCAGTGGCTGGAGGACAGTAAGGGTTGCTGCCAGTTTCTTCTTCTGCTATCTTTGTCCCAGAAGGATACCCATCAGATGTCAGTCTGAGCTTTCCTTTTTGAGGTGACTGGATATACGGGGGTGAGGGAGCTGCTTGAGGAAGACAGTCTGTCCTTTATAGGAGTTCAAATGTTGAGGTGTGAGCTCCATTGTTCATTCAGAGCTGCTGGGCAGGTACATTTAAGTCTGCTGCAGAACTCATAACTGCCTCCCCTTTTTTTCCCAGGTTCTCTGTCCCGGGGAGTTAGGGCTTTATTTATGAGTTTCTGTTGTGCCGCTGCTGTTTTTCAGGGCTGCCCTGCCCAGTAAGGAGGGAACCTAGTCACTATCTGCCTGCAGAAGCTTTGCTGAGCTGCTGTGGGCTCTGCCCAACTGCCACGTGAACTTCCCTGCAGTCCTGTTTATATGGGTATAGTTAGAACTGCCTCAGCAATGGTAGCCCGCCTCTATAATGGCAGACTGCCTCAGCAATGGCAGACTACCTCTGTAGTGGTAGACTGCCTGGGTAATGGCAGACAACCCTCCCCCCACAGAGCTGGACCATCCCGGGTTGAGCTGTGCTTTCTGTGAAACTCAATCTAGAGCGTTTCCAATTGCTGTTTTTTTGTGGGGGGGGGGAGGGGTGGACCAGCCAAGCCTGATCACCTGGCTCCCTGCCTCAGAGCCTTTTTGTTGTTGTTGTTGTTGTTGTTGTTGTTGTTGAATGGTCGACTGTCTCCCAGGTGTTCCAGTCGCCTTTTGAAAAGGCACCCAGATCTGTGTGATTTCCCTTGCGGCGACCCACTGCGCCGGCTGAAACAGTAGCGCTCAGATTTGTGGCACTTTTTTGCCTGGGAATCTCCTGGCCTGGCCCCCTGTTTCAGTCCCCTTTTTAATCAGATGAATGGGTGACTCTGCCTTCCCAGAGCTCCAATCGCCAGCTAAAACAGCACCTGGACCCATGTATTTTGTACGGAGAACCCAGGCACCAGGGCGCTGGCAAAACAGCCGCGTTGGCCAAAACAGCTGCGCTGGTGACCTGTGTGGTTCCTCCACCTGGGAATATCCTGGTCTGTGGGTAATAAAAATCCATCTGGAAATGCGGCGTCCACTCACCCTCCACGCTTTCACTGGGAGCTGCAATCCTGAGCTGCTCCTAATCGGCCATCTTCAAAAAATTATATTAAGTGATACATTAGGAATGCAAAACATTCCAGTTTTAGATAAGCTGCCTCTTGAATAAAGTAGATTTCAGCCATCTCTAGTATTTTTTTTTTAAAGTAAATATAAAATCTTTCCTTTTGTCAGAGCTAGGTGTTTTCTCTATACTCTTTATGTTTGAATGTGTTTTAGTGGATAAAAGAGAGTCATCCATAACCTACTCTTGAAAGCCATCAGTTGCAGTGGGTTCTGCCTATAAACCCAGAGGTGAATGCAAAGGAAAAAGTATAAAAAAAAAAAAAAAAAAAAAAAAAGTTGGGGGACAGGAAATAGAGAATGGTAAAGAAAAGGCTGGATATTAAAAAAGGAATAAAAGCCTGTTATTTACACCAAAATAGATGGGATGGACCTATATGTCATTATGTTGAAATATGCCAGGCCCAGAAAGACAGTATCACATATTGTCACTTACAGGTGTGAGCTGACAAACTTGATCTCATGGAGACAGAACATAGAATGACTGATACCAGAGGCTTGTGAGCATGAGAGGGGGAAATATGGAGAAGCTGGTAAATGGGCACAAACATAGAGTTAGAAAAAAGACAAGCTGTATTGCTTGATAGCAGAGTAACTATAATTAGCAGCAATATATTGTATATTTCAATGTAGCTAGAAGAGAGGATATGAAATGTTACCAACCCATAGAAATGATGAATACTCAAGGTGATGGATACCCTAAATACTCTGACTTGATTATTATACATTTTATGCATGTAACAAATACATGTACCCCATAAATATGTAAATGTCTTGTATCAGTAAACGAAAAAAATAAAAGGCTGGATAGAGAGAGGTGAAATAGGAGAAATAAGAGCCATCAGTGCACAAAAGAGTAATATGCTTGGTATTCTCTGTGACTACACTGGTTAAGGAAATCCCTGCTGCATATAACCCAAATTTGCCATGAGAGGTTAAGAAAACTTTCCACATTAAAGTTATATAGCTAAAACATCCATTATTTAAAAATCAGGATAAAGAGGGGAAAAAAATAATTAAAATTACACCATTGTTGATATACTATATTCCCTTCTAGCTTCTGTACTAATATATCTGTACTTTTCTTTTTTAAAAAGAAAATGAGATCATACTAAAAGAATCACACTGTTTTGTAACCCTTTTTCCCCATTCATCAATATGTACTGAAAAACAGTATTTTAATGGCTGTATAGTTTTTCCATTATGTTAATGTGTCATAATTTACTATGAATCTCCTGTTGTCAATTATTTTAATTGTGTTTCACTACTTAGACATTTTAAAAACATCTGCAATAGGATCATTATAACATACATCTTTATTTCCCCAAGATAAGTTCAAGTGAAAAGGTATGCATATTTTTTAAGGTTTTAGACCCTCCCTGGAATTTTATTTTTTCTATTCGTATAGGAGAAATGAGAAAAGATGACTGAAATGAAAAGGGTATGTGTGAGATATCATCAATTAATGATTCAACATAGATATGTGTAGATTGTATTTGGAGGAGTACAAGTAACACATTATATACTACTTGGATCAAAATAAGCTCATTACAGAATAGGTTATCAAGTAGTTCATTATTCTAGTTAAGGATGCCTGGGTCCCTGAGTTTCCCTTTTTTACCTAAGACATTTTCCTTTGTAAAGAGTACCTGGATACTTAGTAGTACCCATGGATTTTCTTTTCTCTATTTTTAAAAATAAAGATTTCATGATTTCTCTCCTTTAGTACTGTAAGAGAAAGTGCTCTTGGAATAAAAACCTCTAGAATACATGACAAAAATAACCCTAAGCTGTCCTTAACAGATAAAATCTTCATCTACATTGGTCACCAAGGAGATTCAAATTAGCTGGGTATAGGAAAAGGAAAGCATCCTCTAGAACTAGATCCATGACAAGGATGTCAGTTGAAAGGTCATGTATAGGATGAAGGCATAAATAAGGTAGAGTCATTGTGGGGATAGCTTATAGAGGAAGAGACGTCTGACTGTGAATTTATCCTCAAATGATTTTCTCATAAATAAAACTTAACAAGTTAACAGATCTCAAAACCAAGAGCTATCCAAATGGTGCAGTAATAAGTGTAGTGCCCCAAGTACATTTTTCTTTTAATTGGTATTCACATAACCTAAATGTAGTAATAAATGTATTAATAGTAAAGTCCATTGTGAAAAGCATGTGCCATGTTTCATTCATTTTTGTTTTTCCAGCTTTTAACACATTTAGTAGTAGTAGTAGGCAATCAATCAGTGTGGAACTAAATAACTCATTCTTTTATTCTTAACAGACTGGATTATGGACAGAACTTGGAAATATTGAAAATAATTTCTTAAAGCCACTCCATATAGGACTTAATATGTCAAAAGCACATTATGAAGCAGAAATTAAAAATAGCGAAGGTTGGTAATGTGCAATTTTGTTTTCAGTTAGGTCTAAAAAGTAGTCCAATTTTGGAACTGTCATATTCAAATTTAAAACTCTAAAAAATCTTATATTTGGTTAGAGATCATAAAAGCTAAGCCATTTTATTTATAGTTAAAATTCTTAGCAAATCTATAAGCTAATTTACCTAAAATTGTGTTATTGAAGACCAACCAAATTGAAGCATATTCCATTTTAAAGCTTCAAGTTCTGATTAAGAATCTATATTACAACTACTTCTGTTTGGGTACCATTCCTTTGGTATTGTTGGGTCCACCCTCCATCTCACCCTCAAGTAAATCCATACAAATTATGAAAAGAATCTTAGATCCAGAATTATTTAAGTCAACAATTCCATAATAATCGTGATCTCTTCCATATATCTGTGGTGGTGCTTTTATAGGCATTACCAGAAATTCTTTTAGTATAATTCTTTTAGTACAATCCTGATTATATACTAAAGAAAATACTTTCATGAATCCTATACATGCCAAAATAATAATATTTATCCAAAGAGGCATTAATTTACATGTTGTTGAATTTTGATATTTCATTCTATTTGCTTACAGCCTCAGTATACCTTGAGCTGTTAAACAATGGACTGAATAATTTACACAAAATAACTGACACATTTTAAGTTAGTGAATGATGAAAATAGCTTATATATTTGTTATTGAAATCTGAGAGTTGTTTTCAGTGTGATAAATGATTTTTTTTTTCTCTTACAGAGGCCCAAAAATCTAAAGATCTTTGTTCTATAACTGTAGGTGGAGAAGAGATCCCTAATATGCCTCCTGAAATGCAGCTTAAGGTGATCTGAAATTTTCTTTTCTTTCCTTTTTATTCTTTAGAGACAGGATCTTGCTGTCTTGCCCAAGCTGGAGTGCAGTGGCATGATTGTGGCTCACTACAGCCTCAGTTCCCTGGGCTCAAGTGATTCTCCCACTTCAGACTCCCAATTAGCCAGGACTACAGGTGCACACTACCATGCCTGGCTGTTTTGTTGTTGTTGTTTTTGAGACCAAGTCTTGCTCCGTTGCCAGGCTGGAGCACAGTGGCGCAGTCTTGGCTCACTGCAACCTCCACCTCCCGGGTTCAAGTGATCCTTCTGCCTCAGCCTCCTGAGTAGCTGGGACTACAGGCACATGCAACCACACCTGGCTAATTTTTGTATTTTTAGTAGAGACGGGTTTCACCATGTTGGCCAGGATGGTCTTGATTTCTTGACCTTGTGATCCATCCCTTTGCCTCCCAAAGTGCTGCAATTACAGGCGTGAGCCACCGTGGCCACCTGACTAATTTTTAGTAGAGATAGGGTCTCACTATGTTGCTCAGGCTGATCTCAAACTCCTGGCCTCTAGTAATCCTCTCACCTTGGCCTCCCAAAGCACAAGAATTACAGGTGTGAATCACTGCACCTAGCTTTAAGTATTCCTAAGCTACTTCCAGCTGTAATATTTTCTATGTTTTGTTTTGAAAGTAGCATTAATAACATTATTTTTTCTTGGCTTTGCAGGTCCTACATTCAGCTCTTTTCACATTTGATTTGATTGAAAGTGTTCTAGCTCGAGTGGAAGAACTCATTGAAATGAAAACAAAGTCTACCTCTGAAGAAAATATTGAGATAAAGTGAAAGTTCCACTTCCTAAATAAAAACTAATAAAACATAATTTTCCATTACGATTTATTTAATACCTTTAAAAAAATTTTTATGTAAAAATTTACTGCTCAAAAAAAATGTTTTTCTCATTTATCAGTTTCTATAATGATACATTATAGAATAATAATAGTATTTTTTGGTTTTAAAATTATCTAATGGTAAATAATACCCACATATGTCCTAAATACTACTTTTGAAAATCCAATACAAACAACTTTATACCTTCATAAAATGTAGTTGAATTGTCTGTCTATATTCATTACTACAATTTTAACAAGCTTGTAAAAATACTGATACACTTTTCTGCTGCATTTGTATGCTGTGTAACATTTTGGAACTCTTAGCGTCAACCTGGATATCACACAAGTGTAAATGAGTAAAAAGTAGTTTAGAATTCAGTCCAATTGACTTCTTAGCTTCACTCTCTTTTCTGGCTCAGGTGGAGTCTTTTGGGAGCAGAGTCCCATCACCACCTCTCCAGCAGAAGTTATAATAGGAAAACATTTACAATGATGAATTTTAGAAATACTTGCTACCTTATGGAAAAATCTAAAAAATATATATGACTTAAAAAAGCTGAAAGTTCTGTATTTTAATTTCCTACTAAAGATGTGTCCAACTCAGTAGGAAGCTACACCTTAGTTTTATGATATATATATATGTACCAATCCTTTGCTAAACAGTGTTAGACTGGCAAATTCGATAAAGAGTCAAGACCCATTGGTGTGCTGTATTCAGGAGACCCATCTCATGTCCAAAGACACGTAAGCTCAAAATAAAGGGATGGAGGAAGATTTACCAAGCAAATGGAAAGCAAAAAAAAAAAAAAAAAAAAAAAAGGTTGGGGGGTTGCAATCCTAGTCTCTGATAAAACAGACTTTAAACCAACAAAGATCAAAAGATACAAGGGCATTATATAATGGTAAAGGCATCTGTGCACCAAGAGCTAACCTAAATACATATGCGCCCAATACAGGAGCACCCAGATATATAAAGCAAGTTCTTAATGACATACAAAGAGACTTAGACTCCTCCCACACAATAAGAGTGGGAGACTGTAACACCCCACTGCCAATATTAGATTAGCAAGACAGAAAATTAACAAAGATATTCAGGACTTGAACTCAGCTCTGGACCAAGTGAACCTAATAGACATCTACAGAACGCTCCACTCCAAATCAACAGAATATATATTCTCAGTACCACATTGCAGTTATACTAAAATTGACCGTATAATTGGAAGAAAACATTCCTCAGCAAATGCAAAAGAACAAAATGCTGCTATCATAACCAGCAGTCTCTCAGGCCACAGTGCAATAAAATTAGAACTCAGGATTAGGAAACTCACTCAAAACCGCACAACTACATGGAAATTGAACAACCTGCTCCTGAACGACTACTGGATAAATAATGAAATGAAGGCAGAAATAAAGATGTTATTTGAAACCAGTGAGAACGAAGACACAACGTACCAATTTAAAGCAGTGTGTAGATGGAAATTTATAGCACTAAGTGCCCACAAGAGAAGGGAGGAAAGATCTAAAATCACCCCAACATCACAATTAAAAACTAGAGGAGCAAGAACAAACAAATTCAAAAGCTAGTAGAAGACAAAGAAATAACAAAGATCAGAGCAGAACTGAAGGAGATAGGGACAAAGAAAACCCCTTCAAAAAAATCAATGAATCCAGAAGCTGTTTTTTTGAAAAGATCAACAAAATAGACCACTAGCCAGACTAATGAAAAAAAGCCAAATAGATGCAATAAAAAATGATAAAGGGGATATCACCAATCCCACAGAAATATAAACTACCATCAGAGAATACTATAAACAACTCTATGCAAATAAACCAGTAAATCTAGAAGGCATGGATAAATTCCTGAACACTTATACCCTCCCAAGACTAAAGCAGAAAGAAGTCAAATCCCTAAATAGACCAATAACAAAGTCTGAAATTGAGACAGCAATTAATAGTCTACCAACCAAAAAAAGTCCAGGACCAGATGGGTTCACAGCCAAATTCTACCAGAGTTACAAAAAGGAATTGGTACCATTCCTTCTGAAACTATTCTAAACAATAGAAAAAGAGGGACTCCTCCCTAACTCATTTTATGAGACCATCATTCTGATACCAAAACCTGGCAGAGACACAACTGAAAAAGAAAATTTCAAGCCAATATCCATGATGAACATTGATGTGAAAATCCTTAATAAAATACTGGCAGACTGAATCCAACAGCACATCAAAAAGCTTATCCATCATGATCAAGTCAGCTTCATCCCCAGGATGCAAAGCTGGTTCAGCATACACAACTCTATACTGCCCAAAGTAATTTATAGATTCAATGCTATCCCCATCAAGCTACCATTGACTTTCTTCGCAGAATTGGAAAAACCCATCGTAAACTTCATATGGAACCAAAAAGAAAGCCCGCTTAACCAAGCAAAAAAAAAAGACTGGAGGCATCACGCTACCTGACTTCAAACTATACTACAAGGCTACAGTCACCAAAACAGCATGGTACTGATACCAAAACAGAGATATAGACCAATGGAACAGAACAAAGACCTCAGAAATAATGCCACACATCTACAATCATCTGATCTTCAATAAACCTGACAAAAACAAGCCATGGGGAAAGGATTCCCTATTTAATAAATGGTGTTGGGAAAACTGGCTAGCCATAGGCAGAAAGCTGAAACTGGATTCCTTCCTTACATCTTATACAAAAATTAACTCCAGATGGATTAAAGATTTAAACATAAGACCTAATACCATAAAAACCCTAGAATAAAACTTAAGACAATATGATCAGGACATAGGCATGGGCAAGTACTACATGACTAACACACCAAAAGCAATGGCAACAAAAGCCAAAATTCACAAATGGGATCTAAGTATAGTAAAGAGCTTGTGCACAGCAAAAGAAACTATCATGAGAGTGAACAGGCAGCCAGCAGAATGGGAAAAAAACTTTTTGCAATCTACCCATCTGACAAAAGGCTAATATACAGAATCTACAAATAACTTAAATTTACAAGAAAAAAACAACCCCATCAAACAGTGGGTGAAGGATATGAACAGACACTTCTTAAAAGAAGACATTTATGCAGCCAACAAACATGAAAAAAAGCTCATCGGGCCGGGCGCGGTGGCTCAAGCCTGTAATCCCAGCACTTTGGGAGGCCGAGGCGGGTGGATCACGAGGTCAAGAGATCGAGACCATCCTGGTCAACATGGTGAAACCCCGTCTCTACTAAAAATACAAAACATTAGCTGGGCATGGTGGCGCGTGCCTGTAATCCCAGCTATTCAGGAGGCTGAGGCAGGAGAATTGCCTGAACCCAGGGGGCGGAGGTTGCGGTGAGCCGAGATCGCGCCATTGCACTCCAGCCTGGGTAACATGAGTGAAACTCCGTCTCAAAAAAAAAAAAAAAAAAAAGAAAAAAAGCTCATCATCACTGGTCATTAGAGAAATGCAAATCAAAGCCACATTGAGATACCATCTCACACCAGTTAGAATGGTGATCATTAAAATATCAGGAGACAACAGATCCTGGAGAGGATTTGGAGAAATAGGAATGCTTTTACACTGTTGGTGGGAGTGTAAATTAGTTCAACCATTGTTGAAGACAGTGTGTTGATTTCTCAAGGATCTAGAAATAGAAATACCATTTGACCCGGCAATCCTATTGCTGGGTATATACCCAAAGGATTATAAATCATTCTATTATTAGACATACATGCACACATGTTTATTGTGGCACTGTTCACAATAGCAAAGACTTGGAACCAACCCAAATGCCCATCAATGATAGACTGGATAAAGAAAATGTGGCACATATACACCATGGAATAGTATGCAGCCATAAAAAAGGACAAGTTCATGTCCTTTGCAGGGATATGGATAAAGCTGGAAACCATCATTCTCAGCAAACTGACATAAGAACAGAAAACCAAACATCACTCACTCATAAGTGAGTGTTGAGCAATGAGAACACATGGACACAGGGAGGGGAACATCACACAACAGGGCCTGTCAGGGTATAGGAGTATAAGGGTGGAATAACATTAGGAGAAATACTCAATATAGACGATGGGGTGATGGATGCAGCAAACCACCATAGCACGTGTATACCTATGTAACAAACCTGCACATCCTGCACATGTGCCCCAGAACTTAAAAGTATATTAAAAAGTGTTCCTATTTCTCCACATCCTCTCCAGCATCTGTTGTCTCCAGATATTTTAATGATCGCCATTCTAACTGGTGTGAGATGGTATCTCAATGTTGTTTTGATTTGCATTTCTCTGATGACCAGTGATGATGAGCATTTTTTCATATGTTTGTTGGCCTCATGTATGTCTTCTTTTGTAAAGTATCTGTTCATATCCTTTGCCTACTTTTGAATGGGCTTGTTAGTTTTTTTCTTGTAAATCTGTTTTAGTTCTTTGTAAATTCTGGATATCAGCCCTTTGTCAGAGGGGTAAACTGCAAAAATTTTTTCCCATTCTGTTGGTTGTTGATTCAGGAGTGCAAATTAGTTCAACCATTGTGGAAGACAGTGTGGCGATTCCTCAAGGACCTAGAAATAGAAATTCCATTTGACCCAACAATCCCATTACTAGGTATATATCCAAAGGATTATATATCATTCTACTATAAGGACATGTGCACACGAATGTTCATTGCAGCACTGTTTACAATAGCAAAGACCTAGAACCAACCCAAATACCCATTGATGATAGACTGGACAGGGAAAGTGTGGCACATATACACCATGGAATATTATGCAGCCATCAAAAACGATGAGTTTGTGTCCTTTGTAGGGACATGGATGAACCTGGAAACCATCATTCTCAGCAAACTGACAAGAGCAGAAGATCAAACACCGCATGTTCTCACTCATAGGCGGGTGTTGAACAATGAGAATATATGGACACAGGGAGGGGAGCACTACACACGGGGGTCAGTTGGGGGGAAATAGGGAGGGACGGTGGGGGGGTGGGGAGCTGGGGAGAGATAGCAAGGGGAGAGATGCCAGATGTGGGTGATGGGGAGGAAGGCAGCAAGTCACACTGCCACGTGTG